TTCAGAAGCTACTTTGCTTCTTTGTCAGGATGAATAAGGAAAAGAACTTAGACATAGCAAGCTATGTCACACAGTGAATGTATCAAGGAAAGGCCAAGAAGGGACACTTTCTTCCACTTTCTTCAACATATTTGATTTAAATATGTTGCTATTTGGTACCAATATATTACAGAACAAGAAAAAGCCCCTAAGCTATATGTGTAACGTTTTCTAGGTATACTATTTAAAATTAGCTTTTTTATCATAAAAAGAAGTGCTTTTTAAGAAAAAGTACTATATGCAAAATTCTTTCTCTCTCAACTGCATTTGTTTGTGTCCCTTGGACATTTTCAGTGAAAATCAAATTATTTTAACTAAGGGGTATGTATTAAGAAGGAATTCGAGCTATTTGGAATACAGTGGATTTAAAACAACCCATAATTTCGTTGTGTTGGAGGCAATTTATACTAGTCCGAATCCAGTAAGGTAAGTAAATCCAAAAGGCACCTTTAATAGATTTTTCCTCAAAACGCTGGGGGGAAAAAGTATGATAAGCAGTCATTCTCCTTTTTGTGTCTTTCCATTAAATTTTGGTGTAAAGCTTGGTATAAGTGGGAACAGGTACCAAATAGTCCTGCAGAAGCATACTTATTTTTAAATATGTATGTATCAAATAGCCCTGCTAAAAGCATACATGTTTTTAAATAACTAGATAAATGTATAGGTAATGGACATATCTTTGTGGCTTATTTTTCCTAGAAAATTTAACAAGCTTTTAGATGATTATCAGAAAGAATTACATCATATAAATTAAAGGGAGAAACACTTAAGACAGGAATGCCAGTTACAAGAATTAGTAACAGGTAGGCATGAGGTGATAAAGGATACCAATGAGGAAAGGAAAGGCGAATTGAACAACTTGAAGCAAAAATGGACTGGCTATGCAACATAGTAGATGTGTGGAATAGGGAGAAATAAAAGGTGACCAGTTTTCGTTTTGATGATAGGAAATAGTGTTACCATTAAGAGAAATGGAGAAGTCCAAAGTTTGGGTATTGAGTGAAAAGAGATGAGTTTAGATTTAAAGATTCAAAGTTTTAGTTGCTGATGAGCTATGCCAGTGGAAGCACCCAAATAGAAGCTGAAAGTGCAGGTTAGAAAGGAATAGAGATGTGGGAATCAACTGTAAAACAGATTAAAATGAAATCTTCAAAGTTTTCCTTATTTAATTAGTGATAGGAGAAAGAAGAGACCCAGAGATAATAACAAAGCTGCTAGGTAGAAAAAAAATTAAAGGAAAAGAAAGTTTTAAGAAACAGGGTAGACCAGGTAAAGTGGATTACGCCTGTAATCCCAGCACTTTGGGAGGCCAAGGTGAGTGGATCACCTGAGGTCAGGAGTTCGAGATCAGCCTGGCCAAACTGGTTAAACACTGTCTCTACTAAAAATACAAAAATTAGCTGGGTGTTTTAGCATGTACCTGTAATCCCAGCTACTTGGGAGGCTGAGGCAGGAGAATCACTTGAACCTGGGAGATGGAGGTTGCAGTGAGCCAAGATCGCACCACCATTGCAGCCTGGGCAACAGAGCAAGACTGTCTCAAAAAAAAAAAAAAAAGAGGGTAATATTTACAGTCATGTTTGACCATAGGCAGCCAGCCTCAGGCTTCTGTGCCTCCACAATTACCATTAGGAAGTTAGAAATGTCACAGGATATTATTTCCTCCGTAGACCTTTAAGATAATAGTGACATCCAGAAAGTTGCCTTACTCTTAAAGGACTGATCACTGCCATTAATTCATATATAATATTTAAGGGTTGCAGGAGAAACGAATTACCTTTTCTGCAATTGTCTAAGGTATTCTTTACAGCATTACTCCCCAAATGGCCACTTTTAGTAATGATTATACTTACTAACATCAACTAGAAACTATGTTTGATTTTTCTACTCTTGTACATAGGAAGAAAATGCCAATTAAAAATGAAAGTCAGTTAAAACCACTTGAAGCCAGGCGCAGTGGCTCACACCTGTAATCCCAGCACTTTGGGAGGCCAAAGCGGGCGATTCACGAGGTCAGGAAATGGAGACCATCCTGGCTAACACAGTGAAACCCCATCTCTACTAAAAATACAAAAATTAGCCGGGCATGGTGGCGGTCACCTGTAGTCCCAGCTACTCGGGAGGCTGATGCAGGAGAATGGCGTGAACCCTGGAGGGGGAGCTTGCAGTGAGCCAATATCACGCCACTGCACTCCAACCTGGGCGACAGAGCGAGACTCCGTCTCAAAAAACAAACAAACAAACAAAAAAAAACAAAAAAAAACCCACTTGAAAGCAATGTCTGTTCCTTTTTAAAACGGAAAGTTGGAGGAAACTTCAGCCTCTCCTCTTAGATAAAATGCATGCCCCAGGTTAAGAATTCCAGGTATAAGAATACTTTGTACCTTTTTGCCACATAGTTCCATACCACAAGGTTTCCTTCTCAGTGGACACTGAGATTGCATAGGGAATAGATCACCTTCCTTCCAGAATTCTTTTTTGTAGTGAGGTGAACACGGGGATGTAAGCTAGCCCTCTGCTCCAGGGTGTGGTTGAGAAAGGGTTCCCAGGCACCTGAGATGCCAAGAGAAGTGGGTCATTCCCTTCCTGTTAAGCAGCAGAGGTTTTTGCCAAGGATCTAAATTCCATCTTGGAAACTCATTTCTCCATAGAAACCATTTCACAAAGAGTTCTATAAACAATGGCCTTCCTGCAGAAAGCCTACTTAAATTATAATGTAGCCGAAATTCTGTATATTTGCTACTAAAAGTTCAATAGTAGAAAATAATACTCTTAAATATATGTATCTTTTTGAATTAATGCATTTGGGAAAAAAATGTATTCCAAGTACTAGATGGGTTTTTTTTCTTTAATCGTAAATATAACTACTTTTAAAATTATGGACTGTATGCAACTTTTCCAATTCCTACAAGAGAATTAAGAATATTGAATTTGTTCAAAATTAAGCCTTCTATCACTTACTTTTTAGATGAAATACAAATTAGGACAGTTTTTAAATTAGTTTCCTAATAAAAAATTATATGGTAAATTAGTTACATAAGTTGTTTCTATACTATGCACTGGAACAAAAAGAAAAGGAAAGAAAAATACTTCATAAGATTTATTCCTAAACCTCTTGCATTCACATCTAATTTTGTGTGTTAGAAGAAAAGTCCCGGTGTTTTTAAACACGGTTTGTTAACACTCTTTACATAATGAGCTTTATTCTTTTTCTATGCTAATTATTTTTTCATATATAAGTACATTACAGTTGGGTAATTATCTACATAAAAATCTACATAAAAAAGAAAGAGAGGACAGAAATCAGAGAGTTTAAACAGTATAGACCTGGGTTAAGGCAGAACTAAAGGGAGCACCTACATTTGAGTGGCAGAAGGAAAAAGAAGTGATAGGAAAGATGACGAACAAACCAGGGGGTCAGAAGACCCAGTAAAGATACACTGGAAGCTGAAAGGGAGGATTTCAAGATCAAAGGTTGATCAACATCATCTAGTGGCTAGGGGAGTCCAGCAGTGTGGTCAGAGAGGACCAAGACAGATGGAGGTGTCCATTGAGGTGTACTAGATTATGTCATGATGTTGTTTATCTGAATTAAAAGTCTGTCTCATTTATTTGGTCTTTATCACATAAAAGTGAATACCAAGAAAAAGCCTGGTTATTTGGACATTGATAGGATTTCCATTTTACTAGTTTAGTAAGAGTACTTTATACCATCTTCTTAAACATAACAGAAAATATGATGTAAATGTAAAACAAAACTATTATGGCACTGGAGAATACCTATCTGTCATACTTGTTGACCCACTAATGCATGTATGCACTCAAAACTATCTGCATGCTTAGCTCCACACATGAATCAGTGACTGGAGTAAGACCCTAGCTCTAATCTCACTTCTGGTTCCAGGCCATTCCTGTGTGAATTTTGGATAGTCATCTAGCCTAAGTTGCCTAATGTGATAGTCAATAGCCACTTTTAGCTATTTAGGTTTACATTAATTTAAATGAATAAAAATTCAGTTCTGTCTTGTTAACTACATTTCAAGTGCTCAATAGCTGCATACCTAGTGGCTACGGTATTGGACATTGCAGAAAGTTCTATTGGGCAGTACTCATGTAAGTTCTTTGCCTCAAAGTGTTCACCACCAACCACTAATGTAATGCTTGTTTATTACAAAGATAGGAACGTTTCCAATATAATGAGTTAATTTAAACTACCTTAAGTACTCTTAACAATTTGAACAAACATGCAATTAAAACCCGTTTGGGAAAAAAAAAAGAGGGCCAGGCACGGTGGCTCACACCTGTAATCCCAGCACTTTGGGAGGCCAAGGTGGGCGGATCACGAGGTCAGGAGATCCAGACCAGCCTGACCAACATGGTGAAACCCCGTCTCTACTAAAAATACAAAAATTAGCCAGGCATGGTGGTGCGTGCCTGTAATCCCAGCTACTCAGGAAGCTGAGGCAGGAGAATCGCTTGAACCTGGGAGGCGGAGGTTGCAGTGAGTTGATACCACGCCACTGCACTCCAGTCTGGGCAACAGCAAGACTCCATCTAAAAAAAAAAAAAAGACAGAAAAATATATTCAAGCAAATGAAAACATACTAATATCAGAAAATATATATTAGATGTTTTATATATGAGAGACTGAAGACAAATGTTAAAGAATATTATCAGTACTTTTACCAAAACGCATGTATTCTTTATTAAAATGTGTCAGTTAAACAATATATTACAAGTAAAAAGATATTTTGCAACAAATGTAATAGAAAATTTTTAATTTATAAAAATATTTTAGCAACTGCATAAAATTAATAGTTAATTTACTTCAGAAATTTTACTTTGTTTTCATGAAAGATTTTTATTTTTCCCTATAATCCAATTTTCACATTTTACCCACAGCCTTAAGATAGATTTCAAGTAGCAATCAGAACACTATAGAAAAATTTTTAATGGCCAGGCATGGTGGCTCACACCTATAATCCCAGCACTTTCGGAGGCCAAAGTGGGTAGATCACGAGGTCAGGAGATTGAGACCATCCTGGCCCACATGGTGAAACCCTGTCTCCACTAAAATACAAAAAATTAGCCAGGTGTGGTGGCGCACACCTGTAGTCCCAGCTACTTGGGAGGCTGAGGCAGGGGAATTGCTAGAACCCGGGAGGCAGAGGTTGCAGTGAGCCAAGATCGCACCAACGCACTCCAGCCTGGTGACAGAGCAAGACTCCATCTCAAAAAAAAAAAAAGAAAAAGAAAAAAGAAAAATTTTAAAATGCAGAGGGCATGTGGTAAGGGATATTTGGGTCACCTCACAACAATTCTTAAGAGATCTTTAATAAAGGATTAGGATTTCGGTTGTTTATTCTATCTAAAAATATAAAAATAGCATTTCTTAGTACTGAATCAGGACTTTGTGCATGAACATACTGAATCCAGTTCTTTCAATTGTCAAAATTTTTCTCAGGGAACTTTGATGGTAGACTGTGGCTTCCAAAGAAAAAATAAGAGTACAAGCTATTTTTGGAAGGAAAGAAAATGAGTAAACTAGTCAAAGAAGATTGGTTTGGTGTAGAATATTCATTCATTAGCTTAACTCATCTGATACTTGAAAAGGTATATACTCCAGGATCAGACTGACCACTAGAAAAGGGAACGTTATTTTCAAACTATAACTCACATGTACTAGAGATTAATTGGTTTCGGATGGCAGACCTCAAAAGTCCCCACTGACTCGTCTTGGGAATAAGGAGCCAATGCCACTGCAGTGCCATTCAGTTGTGAGTAAGCAATGATGAGAACATAACTTAGGGTGGCATTTTCTAGGTGGGGATGTATACAGAGCAGGGGACACTGAGGCCATATATTAGTCATTAGTAATATATGTCTTTGTAGGACATGTCTTTGCATGTCCTTTACTTCTGTTGTTTCCACTAGAAGAAAGTACTCTGAACATTGTGCTATTGTTTTTGAGTAAGCCTGTTTCTCTTTCGCCTGACTCTGGACATTGCGTAATTGTGTAGTGGCATAAATGGAATAGCTTAATTCTGAAATATCCTTAGGGGAAACAGTATTGGATCATTAACATGGTTATTATAGAAGATGTTTTAAATATGGAAAAGGGTAAAGAAAGGAAACCGTCTGTAACCGTAACACCATAATCATTATTTATATTTGGATGTATAGTCAATCATATATATATATAATGTATAGCGATGTATTTATTGGTGATATACTGTTTTATTAAATGCTTTTCCACTTAATATTTGGGGAATGTTCCTTACATCTTTCAATATTCTTTATGAATATTTTTGATTTTGTATATCCAATTATATTAGTATAGGCCTTAATTTATTTAACAAATCCCATATAAATTTTGATTTTGGTTGTTTTCAGTTTTTTTCTGTTATAGACAATGATATGTTTATCTTTGACAAGGTCCCACTTTGTGGCCAGGCTGGAGTGCACTGACACAATTGCAACTCACTGCAGCCTCAGCTTCATGAGCTCAAGCAGTGCTCCCTCCTTAGCCTCACAAGTAGCTGGGACCGCAGGTGCGTGCCACCATACCCGGCTAACTTTTGTATTTTTTTTGTAGAGAGGGGGTTTTGCCATGTTGCCCAGGCTGGTCCCAAACTCCTGAGCTCAAGAAATCAGCCTTCCTCAGCCTCCTAAAGTTCTGGGGCTATAGGTGTGGGCCACTGCACCCAGCCAGGCATAAAGATTTTTTAAAGTTTGTGCCCCCGTAAATTTGTACACCCATATAGGCTGCATAATAGCGGTACTAATATATAACCCAAATATTACCATCTTTAACCTAATTATTTATTTTATTCTTACAACTACTGCATTCCTAGCACTCAACCTGAATTCAGGCACCACAACCCTATTACTATCCCGTGCCTGAAACAAACTGACATGACTAATATCCATAATTTTATCAATTTTATTATCCCTAGCAGAATCCCCATTAACAGGATTCTTGCCTAAATGAATTATCCAAGAATTTACAAAAAACAAGAAGCACCCATTTTCCCACAACTATACAAACTAAATATTGGTATTTCCTTTAAATATAGACTTTTAAACAAGTGGCAGCTCATCTTAATTTGCATTTCTTGGTTTTATGGTAATATTGAACAGTTTTCCAAAGTTTTGACCTTTTACATCAACCACTAAGAATATATCCCTGTGACTTACCTGTTCAGTGCCCACTTTTCTTGGGGAAATTTGTCTATACATTTTGTATATGAAGGATATGATCCCCATACATTTGTTAGGATGATTCTGCCAAGTTTATAGTTTGACTTTTGATTCCATTTGTGGCATTTTTGAAGTTTATTTTTCATCCTGTGTATGGGAGAAAATACAACATATGGATGACAACTAAAAAGCTCATATCCTTAATATATAGGTATCCTAGTTAATTAAGAACTATTTTTTTCTTATTATTAATCTATGACTTCTATGCTGAAAATTGCATGTGTATATATTCAATGACTAGACTTGAAGGCAAAATAGTAAATTAATGAAAACTTTTACTTATAGAACATGGGTTAATTCTTACTTGACATTGCCTACTTTATCTACT